CTCCTCCTCCGTAACCCCTGACCCTGGGCGGTGGCCGCCTCCTCCGTAACCCCTGACCCTGGGTGGTGGGCTCCTCCTCCGTAACCCCTGACCCTGTATGGCGGCCGCGGGTATCGTCTTCCACCCGTCCACATCCTTCCTGGGCAGCAAATGCTGCCAGCACCAAGCCAGGCGTGGGGCCAGCAGAACGCCCTGGCCAGCCTCGGGACACACATTCTGGAATGTTCACTGTGTGTCCCACACATGCAGGTGGTCTTGGGGGGCAGACGCTACGTCTGCTCCTCTGGCCTAGGGACTGCCAGCAGCGCGGCTGTGTGACCCTCCCTCCTTCTGTCCCTGCTGGTGCCCGGCTCCCAGCCTGGCCTCAAGGCGGGGCATGGAGCTCATTTCATTCAGGCAACATGAGTGTCGGGACAGCCACCGTGAGGCTTTGGGGAGGACCAGCAGACAGAACAGTGGTGGAGCCGGTCACAGAGCTGCAGGGGGCGGGGGACGCCCTGCCCACTCCGCGGGCCTCTAGGCTCCCGTCTTTGCAGAGCTGCCCTGCCGAGGCGCCTGGCCTGTGTCCTCAGCACGTGCGCCTGGTGTCACACCTCACCTGTGAGCAGTTGATGCGCGGCTGCCCTCACGTGTCTGTATTTTGGGATTTCCTGCCTGGTGTCTGTGAGTCGGTGTTCTCGCCTGGGGTACGGGTGCTCTCCCGGATGTGCCTGCGTCTCACGGTGAGTCTGCCTGGGATTGTCACAGCCTGGAAGAACAGGTCGCTTTGCCAGCCCCCCACCTTCCTGCACGGTGTAGGGGGCTCAGGAGCCCCTGGGGCCAGGGCCAGCGTACCCGGGAGTATGTTCCTGGAGCAGGGGGACCTCACTCCTGGGCCAGCAGCCCTGCCTCCTCCAGGCTGCTCAGAGCCCCTTCGGGCCCACGGCAGCCGCTGGCGCAGCCCCTGCCCGTCCTCTCTGGTCTCCAGGGAAGGCAGCCGCGGCCGTGGGTGGTATGGAAGCCCCTGCTCTGCTGCGTCGTCCCAGAGTGGACTGTGGGGACACAGCAGGGAGCTCGCCGGCTTTGAGGAAGAGGAAGAGACCTTGCGCCCTGTTGCGCAGGCGGGGAGGCCCCAGGGAGCTGTCCAGCACCAGCCGTGCTGAAGTCTGCAGCTTTGGCTTCCTGCGAGGGCGCCTGCCTTGGCGCTGGGTCCTCACAGCCCAGCTGCAGCTGGAGAGAGGTGTGTGAGGGTCAGGAGTTTTTGGCAAGATCCCAAACCTGTCCTCAGCTGTGGATCTCTGGTTCTGTGCTGAGGAGGGGCAGGAGGAAACCAAATGTGCTCGGTACCTCCTGCTGGCCAGTCCCCCAGCCCTGGGCCCTGAGCGGACCCCCAGGCCCCACTCCTCGTGCCCTGCCAGGGCCTCTCTGTCTTTAACTTGCAGGGGAGAGGGAGGGCCAGGGCCTCGCAGAGCTGAGGGTGCCCCTGCGTGTGGGTGCCGGAGAGCAGGCATGGAGCAGCCTGGGGAAGGCTGGGGGGCCTGGCCTTGCACTCTCCTGAGGCTGTGGGTGTCGGGGCTCCCCAAGGCAGGGCAGGCACCTCAGGCTGTGGTGGGGTCTGGTCCAGGTGCCCTGGAGCTCGCTCCTGGGAGCCCTTTGTGACAAACTCGTTCAAATCACCTTGTTTCAGAGCTCATGTGGCCTGAGGGTAGGTGACTTGCAGGAGGTTGAGAAGGTGGCCTTGGGGGCAGATGGGCGTGGGCAGAGGAGCTACTGCTGCAAACCCAGCTCCAGGCTGCCGCGACCTAAGCCTAGTCCATGCCTGAGCCCTGCCTCCTGGGAGGAGCATTGCAGAGGGTGGGTGGTGCTGAGTGTAACCCTCTGGCTGCCCCACCCTCCTCCCGGGACTTGCCCCTAAGGCCAGCCGGGCCAGCCCTCCTGACTCCTGGTGGGTGAGGGGCAGCGTCCCTCTGGAGCTCCCCACACACAGGAGAGGGTCCTCTGGGGCCTCATCTGATCCTGCCTGGGCACTGGTGGAGGGCCAGGACTCAGGAGGCCAGGACAGAAAAGGCCACTCAGGCCCACAGCCCCTCACTCGGGGACAGAGAGTCTCCTGCCAAAGGAAGAGGGAGTGGAGTAGGGGCAGCTGACGCATAGGGAGGGAACGGGCGTTGGGAGCCCAGCCCCCAGCACAGCAGGCGGGAGGGGCGCTGAGCTGGACATCGAGGGGCTGTGGTTGCCTCTGAGGAGACAGAGGGCTCAGATCAGCTTGGAGGTTTGTTGACCCTAAACCCCAAATCCCCGGGGATTTGTGACTAATCGAAGTGCACAGATGAGCACCTTCTCCAGCAAAAGCCAGGGCGGCCGAGGGCGTTTGCAGATGGCGTGGGCGGGAGGACGGGTGGGCCCCACGGGGCTTCCACTGGGGGAGGCGTGTGCCTGGCCCCTGACCCATGGGGTGCTGAGTCCCCCATCCCACAGCTCGCCTGTGGGGTCAGCTGGCATGGGGCCTCATCCTCAGGGGACATGTGTCCACGCTGCCCTTCCACTGGGGCAGTGCCATCGTCACTGCCTGCTATGACTGGACTGGCCAGGCTTGCCTGCCAGAGGGAACTTGGCAGTCGTCCCCGAGCCCAGGTTGGAGGCTGCTGTGTGTAGCAGAGCGTGTGAGGTGGCCACCCCTCACCCCAGGCCACAGCGTCACTGGCTCACCGGTCACTGTGGGGTCCTCCCCACCAGGGCTATTCTGCTGGTGCCCCTGCTGGTGCTGGGGGTTGGAGCTGAAGGCTGCTCTCGGGCCCGGGGGCCCTGGGCTCCTGGCCTCAGCCCCCTCTCTGCTCCTTCCACTCAGGAGGCCACAAAACCCTCAGACTCGTGGGGCATGGGCAGGGGCAGCAGAGGAGGGGCCCTGGTGGTTGGAGCTGGCTGGCTGGTGTGAAAAGGGAATAACTGACACCCCACCTCTGACAGTGTGGCCTGAGCTCCCGTCACCCCAGTTGGGTGGTATCCGGCAACCCTGTTAGGTCCCTTACCTGCTGGTGCTGGGTGACAGTCCTGTTGTGACACCTGGTGCACTGATGGTCGCCTGCGGACCCCGTGCTGGTGGGACAGAAGTGGGCTCTGTGCTGGGCTGTGTGGCTCGTGGTGACGTTGGATAGACCAAGCCCCCACAGGGCCTGTGCTGAGAGTGACCTGGGAATGTCCAGGCATATCTCAGGGAAACACGTTGAGTGCTTACCCACGTGGGGAGGTGGCCGGGCTCTAGGCCCCACTGCCCAGCTTGGGGTGGTGGCATCGTGGGAGTTGGGATGGGAGGCAGGGGCAGCAGACCTGGTCAGATGGGGTGAACGGGGTGAGCCTGGCTTGGAGTTGTACCCAAGCCCCTGCTCTTCTCCTGGGCTTCACTCACCTGCTGGGAGACCTTCCAGGGCCCTTGGCCTCTTTGGGTCTGTCTGGGCTTTCCTTAGAGGGGCCTGCCTAGCTCCGCTCAGGTTCTGGAACTGTGTTGGGTGTCCCAGCTCCTTCCCACCCCTCTTCCTACCCCTCCAAGTCAGGTGGCAGCTGCAGGTCAAGGACTGACTCGCTTTGACAAGTTAGTGTGAGCTGACTTCGCATCTGTCTGGGTGAAATCCTCCAGAGCCAGCACCCTCTCCCCTGCCCACAGAAGCCGGTGTGGGTACACAGTGCCTCCAGCCTGGCCCTGAGAGGTTGGAGACTCAGCTCTGTGGCCATTGTGTGGATTGCCCCTGCCGTAGCCGCCTGCAGGTGCCGCGGGATCCAGGCACGGGGAGCTGGCTCCCTGCCCAGGGCCTCACTCCTCTGTGTTCCCCTCCTGTCTCTGGGCCCTGTGTCCTTGATGCCGTCCCTCTTCCTGACCCTGCTGTCCTGTCACATCCCCTCTTCGGGTAGTGGCCACAGGAGGAGGCCGTCGTCCCAGCCAGTCCTCCCTCTGCCTCAGCCTCCCAGGACGGATGTCCCGTTGGCCGAGTGTTGCACCTGCCTCTGCTCCTTGCCTTGCTCTGCCTTTCCCTCCATCCCTGTCCCAGCACCTGGAGGAGGTTGGGGTGGGGAAGGGTCCTCGGGGGAGACCATCTGCACAGCGCCTCCCTGGAGGTCAGCCGGAGCATCAGCCTCCGGAGGGCAGAGGGGGCTCCCTGGTTCCTGATATGGCCCCTGCCTCCAAGACCACAAGGCACTCAGGGACAGACGCTGACGTTTGGAGGGCAGCAGCAACGGGCGTGGGCCTGCGGCCCCTGCCTCTCCCCTCTCTGCCCTTCCTGCAAGCCACCTGCTACCCGCTGTCCGCTAAGCAGCTCTGTTCTTACTGCGCCCTGGAGATTACCTCTGCAGCGGCTCCTCTGGGACAGGCAGGCTTGCTGCGTTGGGGGCAGGGCTCAGCACTTCCGCCCTGTGGGAGGGTGACCAAGGGGCCCTGCATGGAGTCCCTCCCCAGCTCTCACTGTACCTGTGTCCTGGCACAAGGCCCCTGAAGATGTGGCAGGCAGGCGGGCGTGCAGGCCCCCGCCTCTGGTGGTCTAGAGGGTGGGGGTGTTTCTCTGAGGGGTATGGGCCTTCGTCTCTGATGGTCTAGGGAGTCGTGGGGGGGTCTCTCTGAGGGGCCTGAGCAGCCTCCAGCCCCTCCCCAGGGAGGTCAGTCGCCCTGGGAGGAGGCTTGGGAGCGGCGCGGGCGAGGCTGCCTCGTCAACAGCCCTGGGCCAGCTGGTGGGGCAGGGAATATGGACACTGTCCTCCCAGCCCTCTGCTCAGGACCCTCCGCCCCTCCCCCTTGGTACAGGAGCTGATGTTGCTCCTGAAGCCCTGCGTGCCAGCTGGGGTGGGAGGGGTGTGTGTGTGTGTGTGTGTGTGTGTGTGTGTGTGTGTGTGTGTGTGTGTGTGTGTGTGTGTGTGTGTGGCGTGTCTGCGTGTGCAGGTGTGTGCGTGCGTGCCCACCTGTGTGTGCAGGTGCCAGCTTTGCCCAGCTTTCCCCCGTGGCTCGTGAAGCTCAGGATGGCTGGCGGAGCCGGTGGCAGCCCCACCGTGTGAGAGCTGAGTAGTTGCGATCCTAGGGCTTGCCTGCAGCCAGCACCCCACAGTTACAGGCAGCCACCTGCCAGCCCCAGCCGCTTCCTCTAGGAAGACACGCCCTGTCCTGCTCAGGGGTCTGGGATGGGGGACTGACCAGCGGCGCCAGCTCCCCGCAAGGACACAGGCTTGGCCGATGACCTTTGCTCCCCAGCTTTGAGGACCCCGGGTTGAGCCAGGAAGATGGGGTGTGGAGCTTTTGGGCTCGGGGCAGCCTGAAGATTGTGCTCTGTGCCGAGGTGGGGAGGTCTGTCCTTTCCTGGTGTGGCCCCAGCCAGTGACCCGCATCTCCTGCGCCCAGTTCTTCCTGCCTGCCTGCCTGGCAGTGACCCCATCCAGCCGCTGCTCCTTGGCCCCGCAGGCCCCGCACCCCTTGCAGAGTGACTGGCCCAGCCCCAGGCGCCCCTCCTGTCCACATCAGACCCTGGTCCGCACCTGTGCCTTTCCATCCCCAGCTTTCCCAGATCCCCACAAGGCCCCACAAGCTCCTAAACCCACCCAAGATATGCCCCAGCTCCTCACCCTCTTTGTTGCCTGCACCCCTGCCGAGGTCAGGGTGTCCCTTGGCCAGCGGCTCCTCCTGCCTGCCCTCCTCCTGCCCGGCCTTCCCCTCCCTGCCCGGCCTTCCCCTCCCTGCCTGGCGGCCAGAGGCCACTTAGAAGATAAACTGGGCCCAGCATGGTGGTTCACACCTGGAATCCCAGCACTTTGGGAGGCCGGAGCGGGTGGATCACAAGGTCAGGAGTTCAAGACCAGCTTGGCAGCCAGGTGCAGTGACTCATGCCTGTAATCCCAGCACTTTGAGAGGCTGAGGCGGGCAGATCACAAGGTCAGGAGATCGAGACCATCCTGGCTAACACAGTGAAACCCCATCTCTACTAAAAATACAAACAAACAAAATTAGCCAGGCATAGTGGTGGGTGCCTGTAGTCCCAGCTACTGGGGAGGCTGAGGCGGGAGAATGGCGTGAACCCAGGAGGCAGAGCTTGCAGTGAACTGAGATTGCACCACTGCACTCTAGCCTGGGTGATAGAGCGAGGCTCTGTCTCAGAAAAAAAAAAAAAAAGATACACTGAGCCATACCTGGGCTGTTCCTGCCACTTAGGACCCCAGAGGGCTTTGCCAATTGCATGGGGGGCGAGCAGAGCTGGTGTTTGGCAACACGGGAGGGCCAGGGCCCCGAACCCCTGCAGAGGATGCCAGCGAGCCCCAGGCTTAGCATGGGCCACACACAGCTGGCATGAGGAGGCCTGCAGAGGCCAGGACAGCTGTGCCCAGCACTCGGCCCCCTGCCGGCTGTGCTGCTGGAGGGTGCGGGGGTGGGCCTGTCACTGGGCCGTCGCAGGGCCTGGGGAGGGGCTGGAGGGTGTCAGCCTGCAGCTTGGAAGAGAGGAGCCCGGGTGTCTGCTCCCTCCACGAGGGTGCTGAGGTGCATGCATGTGTGTGCACATCCGTGTGCAGGTTTGTGTGTGTGCGCCTGTATACCTATTAGTGTGTGTGCGCACATCTGTGTGTGGCGTATTGACACGTGCAGGTTTGTGTGTGTGGACTTGTATACCTATTAGTGTGTGTCTGTGTGCGTCTGTGTGTGTGTGTGCACACGTCTGTGTGTGGCGCATTGACATGTGCAGGTGTGTGCGTGTGTGCCTGTATACCTATTAGTGTGTGTCTGTGTGCGTCTGTGTGTGTATGTGTGCGTGTCTGTGTGTGGCGCGTTGACATGTGCGCGTGTGTACGTGTGTGCCTGCCTGTGTGTGCAAACGTGTGTGCGTGTGCAGGTCTGTGCATCCTTGTCTGCCTGCACCTGGGATGACAGGCAGAGGCTCCTGGGGTTTTGCAGGGAAGGGGGCCCCGACGTCACCATGGCACCTTGGTAGCCATCCCCTGGGCTGCTGAGGGTGGGGCCTGGCAGGTGCGGAGCGGAGGGAGCTGCAGGCCCTAGAGGAGGCTGCTGTGGTGGCTGTGGCATCTGCGTGGGCCCCCCCACATCTGCTGTCTCTTTCCCATCCCAGCCCTCTCTGAGGCTGGCGTGGGTCACCGGCTCTGACTGGCTCCCGCCGGCCACCTCTGCGGTGTCCACTACAGCCCCACTGCCTGCAGAGGGCCCTGCTGGCCCCTGTGCCCCTCTGGCTATGCCATGGTGTCCACACAGGAAGTGTGTTCCGGCCCCACAGAGTCCACCTGGGGGTCTTCTCACGTCGGACCCTTGGCCACAACGTCACCCTCATCTTGCCTTCACGGACCCCCTCTCCGAGGCCCTTGTTCCTGCTGTCTGCCCTGCATGACCTTCAAGGAAATTGCTGACCCCCAGGACACCCCCTCCTTCATGGGGTGCCTCAGGCCCCAGCTCTGCGAGTGTTCTAGCAGCTCTGGGGGGTTCTAGACCCTCTAGGGGCCTCCACACAGCCCCTAAACTAGGACGCTAGCTTCAGAGACTGAATCACCGAATGGTTACAGGATTCAGTCAAAATGTTTCTTCGGGCTAATCTCACAGTATTGGCTTGTGAAAACCGGTTAATGGAAGTCTAATGTGATCATCTGGCTCCGCTGGGACTGGGTCCCGCCGCCTCCAGGCAGGTGCCGCGTCCAGGAGGGTTTTCCCAGAGTGCGGGCAGGCCCGGTGGGGAGGGGCTGTTTGCTGCTGCATTTGCCCAGTGTGCCCTCAGATCCACAGCCTCAGGGCACCTGTGCCCTCCAGGGAAGGCCGCCTGGGTCTCCTGCCCACCCTGGAGTTGAGCCCACCTGCCCTGCAGCGAGAGGGGGCGGGGGCTGCCCAGGCGCCTCCTCCATCACCTCCTGGTGGAGGGTTCCTGGTCCCAGGTCCTTCCACTCCAGAATCCACCTTTGAGCCCCATGCCATCTGCAGCCCATCCTCTGGCCTCCCCAGGGCGAACGGTGAGGCTCATGGCGTGGGGAGCACAGGGCGGGCCTGGCCTTGGGCCCCAGCCTCCCTCCACCGCTTCCCACAGCCCACAGTTCCACTGCTGGGGCCTTCTTTTGGCCACCTGGCCAGTTCCCCTCCCTGTGTCCAGCAGCCCCCTGCAGCCCCACACTCATGCCCCAGGGATCCATCCAGCTCCTGCTGGTCCCTTTCGTAACCGCTGGCTTTGGGGAGGGTGGAGTCCAGGGTCCCAGGTCACCATCCACCTTAGGAGTCCAGCCCCAGGGCAACAGTCATGGGAGAACTGGGGAGGAGGCTGTGCGGGGTGGGGGTCTTCACACAGTGGCCACCAGGCTGGGGATATCCTGAGGCCAAAGCCTGTGCCAAGTCCCCCCTGTCTTCCCAGGAGACACCTGAGTGCTGCGGCCACTCCTTGTCAGGTCCAGGGCCTGGACCCTCAAGGACACCCCTGCGGCTGCCATCCTGACAAGTGGAATTCACCACAGACCCTCAGCCTGATGGCACAGGTCAGGGTTCACGTTGGAACCCTTCCCGCTGGTCCCTACTAGATCTGAGAGTGAGTCGGGTGGGGTGTGTGTGTGCACATCTGTGTGTGTGCAGTGGTATGTGTGCACATCTGCCTGTGCAGGTGTGTGTGTGCATATCTGCCTGTGCAGGTGTGTGTGTGCACGTCTGCCTGTGCAGGGGTGTGTGTGTGCACGTCTGCCTGTGCAGGGGGGTGTGTGTGTGCACGTCTGCCTGTGCAGGGGTGTGTGTGCACGTCTGCCTGTGCAGGGGTGTGTGTGCATATCTGCCTGTGCAGGTGTGTGTGTGCATATCTGCCTATGGAGGGGTGTGTGTGTGCACGTCTGCCTGTGCAGGGGTGTGTATGTGCACATCTGCCTATACGAGGTGGTGTGTGTCCACCTGTATGGAGATGTATGTGTGTCTGCCTGTGCAGGGGCATGTGTGTGTGTATGTGTCTGTACAGGTGTTTTATGCCTATGCAGGGCTGTGTATGCACATTTGCCTGTACAGGGGTGTGTATGTCTGCCTGTGCAGGGGTGTGCGTATGTGTCTGCCTGTGTCTGCCTATGCAGGGATGTATGTGTGTCTGTGCGGGGATATGTGTGCACATTTGGCTGTGCGGGGGTGTGCGTATGTGTCTGCCTGTGTCTGCCTGTGCAGGGATGTATGTGTGTCTGTCTGTGCGGGGATATGTGTGCACATTTGGCTGTGCAGGTGTGTGCGTGCCTGTGCAAGAGTGTGTGTACACACATCTGTGTGTGCCGTCTGACCCCAGAGGCATGGCCTGGCTTTCCTAGGGGCCTGCAGTTCCCACTCTGGTTCTCTGCCCCGCCCCAGCCGTCCCCTTCACCCCTTGCTGCCTGGAGCTGGGGAGGTCGGGGAGAGGCTGGGGCTGCAGATGGGCAGCTGGCCTCCTCATGCTCCCAAGGCCGCCTCGTCTCCCTGTGCTCAGTTGTGCTGCTTGGGCCGTGGGATTGGCGCTCCTTTGCACAGGTGTTCATCATCTGTGTTTCTTTTCTTTTGAGAATTGTGTTTCCTTGGAGAATTACCTGTCCTTGGCTCATTTAAAACAGTTGGGGTGTTGGTGGTTTTGTAATGAACTGGTCAGACCACTTTCCACGAGGAGGACCATCCCCCCAGTTCCCTGGGGCTGCCCTGCTCAGGGCGTGCTAGGGGTTTTGAGTCACTTCCGTGTCTCCTTGGAGGCTGCGTGGCGTCTGCGGAAGTTGGTGTCTGTGCCGTGTGGTTCTATTTGTGGGTGTTGTAGAGAATGCGCCGTCCAGAGACAGAGCTGCTGCTGTGGTGGGTGGGGGATGCCTGAAGGGCGCAAGGACGCTTTGGGGGTGTCAGGTGTGTTGGCCCCCAGGTCGTGGTTTCACACACGTGTGCTTTAAATGTGTGCTGGCTGTCGTGTGTCCGTCACGCCTCCACAGAGCTTTGGGAACCGCCGAGATGGGCAGCCTGCCGGAGACGCAGGTTTTCTGAGCCCACCAGCAGCTCCAAAAGCAGAGGGAATAGCCCTGCGTGCAGATGGGGCGCTCATGACGTCGTCCTCACAGAGCAGTGATGGACGCAGAGTCGGGGTTCCGGGGGTCGTGACGTCGGCCTCCCAGAGCGGCGACAGGCACAGAGTCGGGGTTCTGGGGTTCGTGACGTTGGCCTCGCAGAGCGATGACGGCCCAGAGTCCGCGCCCAGTGCAGTCATGCTGATGTGTGCGATGGGTGCTGGGCCTGCAGACCTCGGTGCTTCGAAGGCCCCACTGCCAAGCCCAAGACGCCCCTTTTGCCCTTGTCAGGCTCTCCGGTCCCCGGGAGTGGATTTGGGGGCTGTGAGTGCCAGGCACACACTGTGTCCCCGAGGGCTGGTCACCCACCCAGGCACACCCGTGGCCCTGAGCCAGCACAGCCTGACGCCTGCCCTCAGAAGCCCCCACCTGCCTAGGGTGGGGCCATGGGGGAGGCTGGTCCTCCATTCTCTGGGGCTGGGGGACCCCCCTTCTGGTTGAGAAGGCCACAGGTGCCCCCCCCCCGGCACAGCAGGGCACCACCCAGACCACCGTGGCCTGAGGAGGAGGTTTGGCAGCCACTTGGTAGGAGGGCCTGTGATGGCCCTTTTGTGCAGAAGGTGGGTGTTCCCCGGTCTCAGAGGCCAGGGCCCTTGCTGGCTGGGGTGGGGGCTTCCGCCCAGGGCCCCGCTGAGGGGGGCAGGAGCAGGGGCGGGGAGAGCAGCCGTGCGTCTGCCTTTTCTGCTCCGTCACCATGGCAACAGATGGAGATTTGGCAGGAAGGAGGAGGGGGCGGGCTTTGGCGGAGGCAGCCCAGGTTTGGAGACCAGCTGGGGATCCTCAGCGGCCTGAGTGGGGGGCTGCAGCCTCAGGCTGGCTGGGTTCCTCCTCCCCGGCCACTGAGCCAGCCTTGCTGAGGGGCGAGTGGGCTCTGGATGTGCTCTGAGCTTCCTTCCTCACAGCCTTGCTCCTGGGCCAGAGCAGCAGGAAAGGGGCCGGAGCAGGGGGCCCAGTTCTGCCCCATCTGGCCCTAGTTTGGGCACTAGCCTCACCCTGTGAGCCCTGAGGGCCACCCCAGCCGATGGGCACATCCCCGTTGGCCTGCACCCCACCCTTCCTCCCTCTGCTCCCCAAGGGAGCCCAGGTCTGGCCCAGCGGTGGGCAGGGGAGGGGCTGCCGATCACAGAGTGCCAGCTGGCCACACTCCCGGCCCACAGCTGCTCCAGCCGCGCCACCACAAGGCCAGACCTGGCTCTGCCCGCAGCCCAGCTCAGCAGGTGTGTGCCGTGCTCCCTGGCTGGCCAGGGCCCCTGTGCACTCACACGCGTGCTCAGGGGAGGAGTGTGCTCACACGTGACGGATGCAGCCCCCACAGCAGGGACGGGGCACCTCGCCAGCACCTGGTGGGCTGCACCTGCCGGGAGGGCCAGCTGTGCGGATTCCCGCGCTGGTGCTGCCTGCCCCCGTGTGTGGTGGCTTCTGTCCACCAGCCTGGCTTGGCATCCGGGCCCTCGTCTCGCCCTCCCGAAAAGAGCTCAGCCCCTGTGCTGTGCTGTCCTGTGGGGAACGTGTCCTCGCTCACGGCCTTAGCAGCAGTGTGGTGGGAGGAGTCTGAGCTCTTTGGTCGGCAGGGCCAAGGGAGCAGGTACCCTCGGAAAATGGGAAAATGCGGGACAGGGTGGGGCTGGGGGGAGGGGTTCAGTGGTGGGAGGGGCCCAGCGGAGCTGGGGTGTTCATAGGAAAACCTTTCCTGAGCCAGGGACGGTGGCTGGGGGGTCAGATATGGCAGCTGCAGCCCAGATGGGATCCTCCTGCCTGTTGGGAGTGGGCAGCGGCGCCCCGGCCACCCAGAGCAACCCCGCGTCCCAGGCCCATCTGGTCTCTGCCCCGGCCACCCAGAGCAACCCCGCGTCTCAGGCCCATCGGGTCTCTGGCCCAGGGCACAGTCTTGGCAGTCACTGCCGGGGGGCGGGACCGCGCATGGCCCCCCACCGTGCACACCCTCCCTGACTGCTGCAGGCCTGAGGGGTGGACGGGTGGGGCTCACTGCAGGTGCTGCCCCCAGCACCCCAGGCCACCTTCTTCACGTGTTAGGAGCCCACGTTCAGCACCGCCATTCCTGGGGCAGATGGGGCTGGGCAGGGGCTGGGGTGGGTCTCTCCCCATCTCATGGCGCCAGCTCAGACCTGAGCCAGGATCTCTGGTTGGAGCCAACCAGAAGTCTAGCGGCCGTGAGCTCCCCTGGGGGCTTCTGCCTCCCACGTGGCCCCTGGGGATGGCCCCTCAGAACAGCCCCTCGGGGTGGTGTGCCCTGACCCCACTGTCCACTGGGGTCAGCCCGGGGGACCCTGCCTCTGGCCCACTTCTCCCACCCTGCAGCCCCTTGCAGGGGCCACTAGGAGACTCGCAGAGGCAGGGCCCCAGGACCATGGAGGGAGACCCATCCCTCTTAGGGGCTTCTGCAGGGCCTGAGCTGTCTCTGTCCAGCCCCGAGGGCCCTGATAGTGGTATCTCTGTGGGAGGAGGGGGCCCTCTGCCCAGGCTGTGCCCTGGCCTTCTGCCCTGGGAGCCCCACAGCCCACATGGGCCTTGGCACCCAGCTCCCCAGTAGGACTTCCCCACGCCAGGAAGGAAGTGGGCATGGGCGTCTGGGGTCTGTGTGCCTGGAGCTGAACCACGTGGCCTGGGCGCCCTGCACTGCCCACCACCCACTGACCCTGACCACGGGTCCGCAGCAGGCCCTGGGCAGAATGGGGAAACCAAGAAGAGGGGCCTGAACTGAGCCTGGGGTGGTGGGGCCTGGCACCCCCACTCCATCAGCCCCTCCTGCCATCTCTGGGGGCATCAGTGGCCCCAGAGCCAAGGAGCAGCCTGAGGGGCTGAAGCTCAGGCGAGGACAGGTGGGCGGCTGCTGCTCCACAGTGGTGGGCAGCCACAGCGCCCGGCCCTGCCTTCCGCCCCGAGGAGAATGGGCTGCCTCCCACACTGGACACGTGGCGCAGGCCGCTTCCTCACACGCTTTACTGTAGCCAGACTTGGAAACAGTCATGTGATCCCCAGGGATAAATAACTGCGTTTTCTCCATCTGTCCTTAGTTTAAAAACAATTGTTTGTTGATTTAAAAGGAAGCGTTTACCTTCAAATATAAAGAGATTCAAATTTTCCTGTATGGACTAAGATTTGTGTTGGTCAAAAATACCACACCCCAAAGTTGCCATTGTTCCATTGTTTAAAATTCTACATGCAAATGGAATCTCCAGAGGCCGGGCAGGAGGAGGACGGCCTGGGAGTGACCAGGCTGCTTCTCCGCCTGGACAGCTGTCTCCGTGCCCCTGTGGCAGTTGGAGGCTGGGGATGCCACTGCCCCACAGTGTGCTCCGGGGATCTCAGGATGCTGGGAACTTCCCTCTGCAGAGAGTTCGCATCACTGGGATCCCAGGATGAGCTTGTGTGTGGAAAGCAGCGTTCATTAGACGCTAAGGAACCTCAGAGCGTGCCAAGGTGCAGCTTCAAAGGCAGCAATTCTTTGGAACTTAGGCCAGGGAAGATTTGTGTTTTGGAAATGGCAGATATTTTATCACTGACATTGTTTAGTGTAGGGTGATAAAAAGTAGACTGAATTTTTAAAATTAAAATGAAATTCGTGTAATATAAAATTAACCATATGGAAGTGTACAATTCAGGGACCGCGCATTCACCGTGCTGCGTGGCCACCATTGTCTAGTTCCAGAACATTCCACCCTGCGGGACCCTGCGGGACCCTGCACCATTGTGTCCTCTTGCCCCTCCTCCATCCGTGGGAGCGTGGCCTGCCTTCCGTTTCTGGACACGTCACAGACGTGGGTCCCAGGCTGTGCGTCCGTCTGCGTCTGGCTTCGTTCACGCAGCAGAATGTCCTCAGGGCCGTATCTGCTGCCATCCCTGTTGGGGTTTTCTTCCTTTTGAGGCTGAATGCGCTTCCCTGTGTTGACCAGACCACATTGTTCGCCCGTCATCTGCCGTGGATGCGTGGCTGCCTCCACCTCGTGGCTCTCAGGAGTGGTGCGCTGTGGACCTGTGTGTGAGTACCCGCTCGGGTCCCTGAGCTCAGTTCCTGGGAGCCTAGACCTGGGAGTGGTAATTCTGTCTTTACCTTTTTAAAAAAATTAGTTCATTTATTTTTTAGAGACAGCGTCTCACTCTGTTGCCCGGGCTGGAGTGCAGCGATTCAATTCTGGCTCATTGCAGCCTTGGCCTCCTGGGCTCAAGCGATCCTCCCACCAGCTTCCCAACGTGCTAAGATTACAGGCTTGAGCCACTGCACCTGGCTTGTGTTTAACTTTGAGGAGCTGCCAGACTTTCTCATAGGACCTAGTTTTAGTTGGCCTCCTTTTTTTTTTTTTGAAACGGAGTCTCACTCTGTCGTCCAGGCTGGAGTGCAGTGGCACGATCTCGGCTCACTGCAACCTCTGCCTCCCCGGTTCACGCCATTCTCCTGCCTCAGCCTCCCGAGTAGCTGGGACTACAGGCGCCTGACACCAAACCTGGCTAATTTTTTGTATTTTTAGTAGAGACGGGGTTTCACCGTGTTAGCCAGGATAACACGGTTAGTTGATCTCCTGACCTCGTGATCCGCCCGCCTTGGCCTCCCAAAGTGCTGGGATTACAGGCGTGAGCCACCGTGCCCGGCCCTCATTTGGGTTTTCTAAGGCCCCACAGCAAAGGCAGCCTGGTGTCCACTGGACGGCTGGCACCCCTGCCTGCCTGGGGTATGCCTCGCCCCCTCGGGTCCCTCACTTTGTAGAATGCGTTGGCTTGGAGGAGCCTGTTACCTGCTCGCTGCCCACAGGGTGGTCCCGGTGGAGGACTAGGAGTGGCTGCCCCTTCTGTTGCACAGGCTCCACCATGGCCTCCTCGGCCACTGTCCCCTGGGAGGGCAGCTGTGGTAAAGGCCGGAGCTCCTAGCTGTGGGCAGGTGAGTGCCCCTGGCAATTCTGTTCTGTGATGTAGGTTTTCCAGACTGGGAAAAGTTGAGAGTTTCAAGGTCCATTGCCAGTGGGAACTGGAACCAGGCAAGCTAAACCATTATTGCCCCCGGCAACCCCAGGGCTCACCTGGCTCACGGGGACCTCTACAATGACCAGGGCCTGGGACCGCCCGATCTAGGGCAAAGGGAGGGGGAGGGGGAGGGATGTGATTATAAAATTTCTGTTTTAATTTCAAGTACAATAATGTTGGTAGATAAAAACACACAAACCAAAGCACTTTGATTTTGTCAGTAACTATTAAGAGTCTGGAGGGTCCTGAGGCCGGGGGGTCTCACGAGCACAGAGTGTGATGCCCGTGAGGACGTGACCACAGCATTGAGCGTTCTGTTTCCTGGGTGGCACCTCTGCGATGCCATCCACTGTTTGGCAGAGTCCGTCTTCTAGAGATGCTCTTGTAAAAACAGGTTTTTAGGCTCATGTGCTCCCTTCCCGGTGCCCGTCACCCCTGCCTGAGGCTGTGGCCCGGGCTCAGCTCCCTCGGGCTGAACGGCTTCCCACACATCGTGTCCAACACGTTCCCCCAGCTTTCCTTCAACTGCCGATGGTGGTATTTAGCCTCGGTTTTGGAGGATACTTTTGCTGGGTGTAGAATTCTGGGTTCCTTCAAGTGCTTAGCAGGTGCTACACCGTGGTCCTCTGCTGGTAAGAGGCAGCCGCCACCAAGGCCCTGCGTGTGATGCTCGTCTCTGGCTGATTTTGAGGTTTTCTCTTTATCCTTTGGCTTTGTGAGTTTCGCAGTGACCCACCTTGGTGTGTTCCTCCAGGTGTCTGTCCCGCTTGAGGTTCAGTGAGCCCCGTGGATACACAGACTGATGTATTTAGCACATTGGGGGAAATTCTTCATTTTTGTTTAAGTTTGCCCTCTTCAGCCAGGTGTGGTGGCTCATGCCTGTAATCTCAACACTTCGGGAGGTCAGGGAGGGCGGATCATGAGTCAGGAGTTTGAGACCAGCCTGGCCAACGTGGTGAAACCCCATCTCTACTAAAAATACAAAAATTAGCCAGGTGTGGTGGTAGGCACCAGTAATCCCAGCCACTCGGGAGGCTGAGGTGGGAGAATTGCTTGAACCAGGAAGGCGGAAGTTGCGGGAGCCAAGATTGTGCCACTGCACTCCAGCCTGGGGGATAAAGCAAGACTCCATTTCAGAAAAAAATAAAAATAAAATGTGTCCTCTTCCCTATTTGCTCTTTCCTGTTTTGAGGGACTCCAGGAACAAGTGTCTTAGACTATAAGGGGGCCCTGCAGGCGC